ATCGGACCGAAACAATTGAGTCAAGACGACGGAGAGAATCGAATCACACAGGCCACGTTCACAATCATGACTCCGACCTCACGCACGGAAGTCACGTACCACGAGGACAGTCTACCGGTGAGTTCAATGGATCCGGAAACGTTGAAACAGTTACAACTGATGCGAGAGGAAAAGCTGCGACAGAGTCCACAGATGGGAACGGAAGGATTGGGCGAAACAGAACAGATCGAGGATCCTGGGAATTGTTCCACAGCCAGAACAAAAACCACTGTACGGAAAACCGTGATTGCTTCGGCAGCAAAGGCAACATTTGTGGCCACGGGCACCTCGAAACCACCGAAAAATGCACTGATCCTAATGGGAGAAGGGTGAGTGCCAGTGAACAAACGATTTATGCAGTTTTTATTTCATCCAGCTATCCTGATGACGCACCATTAACCTGTTGAATATACTTAATTCAATTAAAATATTTATCCTTGGGTGAAATGCATTGCAGTTCTAGTTACAACACTGAAAACTTTAAATACATTCTGTTGGAACATTTGACAGCAAGCTCAATACTCTGCGGAAACGCGAATCCTCGGAATTTTTAACGATTTAATTGTCTGTTATACACAAATGAGAGTTCCTGAATGATGGATTAGTCCGTGTTTAGTGACGCAATGAGTGCTGAACGGATCAATGTGAAGAGGTAATTTTCGAGACCTGTGCGTGTGTTCTACTACTCCGTGATAAATTGTTATTAAAGCTTAAAGATCATACTTGAAGGCGAGAATCCAATGGTGCTAAACAGCTTATAGGAAAATAGTATTTTAAGGGATATTCTTTCAGGGTTGTGCTCGGTTTGGAATAGAGGGTTGCATTTTGCACTGCTAGGATCACATCATCATGTTCATTATCAAGTCTTAAAGTACGCAATTTGTCAATGATCTGTGGTTATGGTAATCGATGCTAGGCACACCCTAGTGAGAGCAAACAAGGAGTAAAGATACATTGTTTTGAATATATGAATGGCTCCTGAAAAACACGTTGCTCGCGTGTCGCGTATTGATAGGAAAGTGGAAATTTCCGTTCAGAAACGGGGACTAGTCAGGCTAGGTTTGTAATGCAGACACATGCATTAAACTATTCATTGGTTCTTCAGTGGTCGGCAGGTTTTGCTCGTTGGGATATAAACATCAAATAGCACTAACTAACTTTTCCACATACGTAGTAGTATTTTCACTTCATTTTTCGTTTATTCATTATTAGAATTGTACAATAAGCATTCCGGCTGGGGGGGCGGCCATACACGGGCTACCTGGGGAAGTAC